ACCCGGATTGCCCTGACTACGCTGCCTTCTCCTGTCCTGACCCCTGGCTTGTCTGACCTCCCTCTTGGATCTCCCTTCGGATTGACTACCTTGGTATTGACCCTGCGTGTGCCCTGACTATCCTCTGCCTGCCGATTCTGTACCTCGCTGCTCCCACGGTAACGATCTGGCCTGTCTGACCACGAGTGATCCATCCATCCATCCATCCTGCCGGGCCCTGCCGGTCTCTTCACATCAGGCTCTCCCCTGTAGTCGTCCCCGGTGGACCCCTCTGCCACAGGTAGGAGTGCTCGGAGGTCGTGACCTGGTCCTGGTCTGCTTCAAGTCCATCCCCACCATCAGGGGCCCTGGTGAAAACGCAGTCCAGTGCTTAGACCCCAATAGTTACCGCTGGATGTGCGGTAATACGGTAGCTTCGGCTACATACAGTATACAGTATATATACAGCCCGCTGGATGTGCAGTAATGTACATACAGTATACCGCGCTGAGCCAAGCTAGCTCAAAATCAATGTCCCTATGACAGATTAATCTGTCAGCCCGCTGGATGTGTGGTATATACAGTATACTGAGTATATACCCACTGTGGTATATACCAGAGGCAGACTGAGAGCTCATGGGGCCCCCGGCAATAGGGGACCATGGGGCCCCTGTGTCCTTGCCCAAACTCAAAAAAGCCTATGAAAAACATACCAGGGGCATCTCATGGGGCCCCCTACTGACCCCGGGCCTTCGGGCAGTGCCCGAGTTTCCAAATGGTCAGTCCGCCCCTGGTATATACATTATACTGAGCCAAGCTGTTTCAAAACATACCAGTACATCCCTACGGTAATCAGACTGCTGGATATGTGTATGTACAGTATCTGAGGCTACATACAGTATACGCTGGGCCAATCACGGTGAGCGATGTATTCTACTAATGAATACAAAGCCTGCTCGAATTGGCTGAGGTTGTGACATCATCACCCCACCTCTCTAACTCAGCCAATCCGAGCAGGCTTTGTATTCATTAGTAGAATACATTACTCGCCGTGATTGGCCCAGTGTATACTGTATGTAGCCGCAGCTACCGTACATACATGCATCCAGCGGGCTGATTACAGTAGGGACGTACCGGTACGCTTTGAAACCGCTTGGCTCAGCGCAGTATACTGTATATACGCACATCCAGTGGGCTGACAGATTAATCTGTCATAGGGACATTTGTTTTGAGCCAGCTTGGCTCAACACGGTATACTGTATATACAGTATTACCACACATCCAGCCAGCTTGACCCAAACTCAAGGTTCACATTTTATACCCCGCGTATAAGACGACCCCCAATTTTTAGGGTATATTTTTAAGTATAAAAAAGTAGTCTTATACGCCAGAAAATACTATATATATATATATATATATATATATATTATATATATATATATATATATATATATATATATATATATATATATATATATATATATATATATATATATCACCGCTTTTGCCTCCAAAATGGACTTGTCTTCACCTCAAACGTGTGCTCCTCAAACTATTCTTGAACCATTTTTGCAGTGTGGCAGGGCACATTATCCTGCTGAAAGAGTTCACTGCCTTCAGTGGATACCACTTCCATAAAGGGGTGTACTTGGTCAGCAACAATGTTTAGGTAGGTGGTACATGTCAAGTAACATCTACATGAATGACAGAACTCATAGTTTCCCAGCAGAACATTGCCCAAACCATCACACTGCTTCAGCAGGCTTGCCTTCTTCCTATACTGCATCCTGGTGTCATCCCTTCACCAGGTAAGTGAAGCACACACACCCAGCCATCCACATGATGTACAACAAAACATGATTCATCCAACAAGACCACTTTCTTCCATTTTTCTGTAGTCCAAGTGTGATGCTCACGTGCCCATTGTAGGAGCTTTTGCCTGTGGATACGTGTCAGCATGGGCACACTGACTGGTCTGCAGCTACACAGCCTCATACACAACAAACTACGATGCCCTTTTTTTTTTGCTTTTAACACATCAGCTTCAGGGACAACATATTTACTTGCTGCTTAATATATCCTACTAACTTTAAGATGCCTTTGTAAAGAGATAATCATTGTTATTCACTTAGAGTGATTCTAAAAGGTTGTATTTTTTTTTAACATTAGCAAACATTTTATACTTACCCACTCCGTGCAATGGTTTTGCACAGAGCATCGCTGATACTCTTCTTTTTGGGTCCCCCACAGACAGTCATGGCTCCTCCTCCCTGCCAAGTGCCCCCAACAGCAAGCCTCTTGCAATGGGGGCACTCGAGCAGGCTTGCTCTGTAGTCGTGCTTCTTTGAATGGACATTGTCCATTCACACTCTCTCATCATTGGCAATCTGGCTGTGATTGACAGCAGTAGGAGCTAATGGCTCCCTTTACTGTGTGACACAATAAGTAGAGAGAGACCCAGAAGAGCCGTTGCTCTCATGCACCTTGCTGGATCGAGATGGGGCTCAGGTAATTATAAGGGATAGCTGGGAGGGGGGATCTGTACCCAGAAGGTTTTTAACGTAATGCTTTTAGAACCACGCTAACCTGTCAGTGGTCATAAAGTTATGGCTGACCTTAGATTGTACGCCCCTTGAGGGTTAGGGACTGATGTGAATGTACAATATATATGTAAAGCTCTGTGTAAATTGCTGGTGCTATGTAAGTACCTGTAAATAATAAAAAATATATATACTGTACTCTTCGCTCCATAAGATGCAAAAAAATGGGGGGAAATGTCTGTGTGTCTTATGGAGCGAATATTGACCAGGACTCCCCTCCCCCTCTCCACCACCATGTTAGAATACCGGGCCAGCTGCTTGGCTCTTCTGTGGCAGAAGAGAGGACTAGTCCGAGTCAGCAGTGCAGCAGCGCCAGGCAGGGCCCAAAGCAGCTGCCCCTTAAAGCAAACTTCCAGCTGAAAAAAAAAAGTCATCAGCTCAAATACTGTAGCTGCTGACTTTTAAGATACAGCCACTTACCTGTTCCTTGGTCCAGCGGTGTCCTCACCACCACTGGTTTCACTGGCCGTGGGTGGACACTCCACTTTAAACCTGCACCGCCCTTAGATTGGGGCCCAGATCACTGCACTGCAGAGCCAACAGGGTACACTGAAGACATCCTTGTGAGCCCCGCCCTCAGAGATGATGCTGAGCCTGGCTGGCCAGATATGTCCCCCCCCATATACTGCCTGTGGACTGCTATACCAAACTGTATATACAGTATGGGCATTGCTGAAAAGTCTCTGTTCATCCCCTCAACTATGTCTGCAGTCTCTCTGGTCATCTCCTGTACTTTGTCCACAGTCTCTGGTCATCTCCTGTACTGTGTCTGCAGTCTCTGGTCATCTCCTGTACTGTGTCTGCAGTCTCTGGTCATCTCCTGTACTGTGTCTGCAGTCTCTGGTCATCTCCTGTACTGTGTCTGCAGTCTCTGGTCATCTCCTGTACTATTTCCGCAGTCTCTGGTCATCTCCTGTACTATGTCTGCAGTCTTTGATCATCTCCTGTACTATGTCTGCAGTCTCTGGTCATCCTCTGTACTGTATGCAGTCTCTGATCATCTCCTGTACTATGTCCGCAGTCTCTGGTCATCTCCTGTACTATGTCTGTAGTCTCTGGTCATCTCCTATACTGTGTCTGCAGTCTCTGGTCATCTCCTGTACTATGTTCGCAGTCTCTGGTCATCTCCTGTACTGTGTCTGCAGTCTCTGATCATTTCCTGCACTATGTCTGCAGTCTCTGGTCATCTCCTGCACTATGTCTGCAGTCTATGGCCATCTCCTGTACTCTGTCCGCAGTAGTCTGGTCATCTCCTGTACTATGTCTGCAGTCTCTGATCATCTCCTGTATTGTGTCTGCAGTCTCTAGTCATCTCCTGTATTGTGTCTGCAGTCTCTGGTCATCTCCTGTACTATGTCTGCAGTCTATGGCCATCTCCTGTACTCTGTCCGCAGTAGTCTGGTCATCTCCTGTACTATGTCTGCAGTCTCTGATCATCTCCTGTATTGTGTCTGCAGTCTAGTCATCTCCTGTATTGTGTCTGCAGTCTCTGGTCATCTCCTGCACTATGTCTGCAGTCTCCGGTCATCTCCTGTACTCTGTCCACAGTAGTCTGGTCATCTCCTGTACTATGTCTGCAGTCTCTGCTCATCTCCTGTATTGTGTCTGCAGTCTCTGGTCATCTCCTGTACTATGTGTCTGCAGTCTCTGCTCATCTCCTGTATTGTGTCTGCAGTCTCTGGTCATCTCCTGTATTGTGTCTGCAGTCTCTGCTCATCTCCTGTATTGTGTCTGCAGTCTCTGGTCATCTCCTGCACTATGTCTGCAGTCTCTGGTCATCTCCTGTACTCTGTCCACTGTCTCTGGTCATCTCCTGTACTACTATGTCTGCAGTCTCTGGTCATCTCCTGCACTATGTCTTCAGTCTCTGGTCATCTCTTGTACTATGTCTGCAGTCTCTTATCATCTCCTGTAGTACATCCGCAGTCTCTAGTCATTTCCTGTACTATGTCTGCAGGCCATTGGTTCAGAATATTTTTTTCTTGTTTTCCTCCTCTAAAACCTAGGTGCGTCTTATGGTCAGGTGCGTCTTATGGAGCGAAAAATATGGTATATGCATACATATACACACATGCTTCTCATTACCTTATGTATGAACACATTTATTATACTGCTTATGTATTTATTATTTGTACTCTAAGCAGTTCCAAAATTTGCCAAAAATTTGCAATACTTGGGGCTATATTAAAATGAAGAACTTATATATCACCACAAATTGTACCCAAACAAGGCATAAGAATGACTAATTGTAACCTCACTGCTCTACAAACATAAACTGAATTCAAATACCCCAATAATTCAGAATATAAACCTTCTATCTCACCTGTGAGGTGAAAGTTTATCTAACCATCCAGCTTTACTTATCATTTTACATGGTCCATAGAAGCTTGCATACGGAGTGATTGAGAATTCTTCTTGCAATCCTGATTCTGATGAATGGCTACTGATAGTATTAGTCTGGGAATGGCTATCTGATTGACTTCTGAGGTCCTCAGCAGGCTTTAATCCCACATCACGTGCGCATTCCTCCAAGGTAGAATATATTGATTCTTCTGAGCCACTGTTCACTTCTGAAGGCATAGCAATCGATGGAGTTGTACACTGTGGGTTTTGTGGTAGGCTATTAAACAGATAACAAAAAAGTTACAAAAATAACTATTATATAGTTCATATATTTTAATGGTGTCCAAATTGTGGCACTTTGCTTATCTTAATCTGACCCTTGGGGCACTACTCCTCCTACTGACACCAACGATGAGTTATTATTTCTTTTACTGACACCAATGATGGGGTGGTATTCCTTAGACTCACACCAATGATGGGGCACTTTCCTTTCCACTGACACCAATGATGGGGCACTATTCCTCTCCCTAATACCAAAGATGGGGCACTATTCCCCCTCCTACTGACAACAAGCGATATGTTTTTCTTTACTCCAACTGATAATCAACCATAATGCACTGTTTACTCCCACTGATGCTGGGTCATTTTCTAGTTCCAATGGCCATAGTGTGGCCCCAGGCCAGCCGAAGAGGGATGGTAAATTGACCCTTTGTTTAATTTATAGTTTATTGATTTTATTCTATTCAGGATTTGGGTATAACATCGTTTTAACAAAGTTAAAAAGTACAGTCTGGTTACACATTAACATTTGCACTTAACCTTTCTGCTGGCAGCACAGTTTTGCAGAGAAAAGCAGAGGCCCTAGAAAATAAAATTGTGGTATTTCCATTTTGTTATGTCACAGGATATTAGACCCCTGATGTCTCATTTGTCCTCTATTGAAGGACACTGAGCTCCATTAGCTTCTTCCCTGATACATGAAACTGGAAGTTGTACACATGGTTTCTGGGTTCTTTGTAGCTAGCTAAAATTAATTGTCAAACTATTCTAAATGGCTATGAATATAAACATATAACAGTGCTGAACAAAAAATAAACAAAAAGGAAAAAAATAGACATAAATGAGGTGAATGTAGGAATCATCCCTGCTGAGAAATTGCATTCTAATAGCTGCAGACATCACTGTCAGAATACATTGATCTTGACTGCAGCCGCTGATTGATCGTCCAAAACTTTTCTGACATATCCCTTGGACAAATGTGGACTCCTGATGGATATGACATACAGTATAAAGCTCACACTTAGTGGTCTTTCACAGCATAGCATGCCTACAATGTTTCCTGAAAAGCAGTGCACTAACTTTCTCAACCAGGGTGTCCAGGCAAAATGCCAAAAAATTGTCCGAAAATTGTATACAAGCCAGCAGGTGGAACAAGTCTGACTTTTAGTTACACAAAGCCACAGGCTTTTATTGTGCACCATTACAACCTCCTAGCCACCAGCATCCTAACAACCAATGAAATCATCAGTTGATAAGGAGGACGCTGGGTGCCTGTACAGCATCCTTGTTCCGCTCCTCTTTGTCCACACTGGGGTTACATTAGCTGAGTGAGGGAGAGAAACTGAGGGAGAAGAGAAACATTGAACTACTAGTCATTACTACCCGTGTGCAAAGGTGTGTTTGCTTTATAAGACTAAGTCACCTCTAATATTGGGTGTCCTATGGTGTGTGGGTGTTGCTGCATTATGGAAAACTATTAGTTTAGTTTTTTTTTTTTTACGTTTTAGAATGGGTGTCTTGAGATTGTGCAAAATTATAAAGATTGCCTTGGCTGAAAAAAGGTTGAGAAACACTGCACTAACTAACTTCACTTGTCTGGAGGTACTCCTTAATTTTACCTTTCACTACTTCCAGTTCCATCACTGCAAATAACTGGAGATGTATCACCGGTAGCTTCCTGAAAATAAAAAGAGAAAAGAATTCAAACATATATTTTAATTTATTCATATTTCTAAATGCATAAATTGTGTGATGCACAGCAATATGTTCACGTACCTACAGTATTTCTGTTTTTATGCACATTGGATCTCTTTCAGAACTGAACTTTAAAGTTACATATACAGTTATCATTATTATAAGTCTAGTTATGATTGTAAAGTTGCTAATGAAGCCTGCCAAGCAAATTGATTTATGCAGGTGTGTTGTTATTAACACTCTTTGATTATTGTATTACAGTTTCAGAAGCTTTTCAGAAGGCAGTGTAAAACAGAAAGAAATTGATTTTCAAGCATACAGCTAACTTTCTGTCCAGTAACTGCACAGAAGAAACATGTCAACTGTCAACTGAGGTGGACTCAGTAAGGGATCTGTCCACTGATAAATTAATACAAAACTTTTCAGTGCTATGTCAGATAGGATGGCCTCACACTCCACTGGAAACTCCAAATCTTTATTGAAATTCAAGTTAAAAACATTACAGCACAAGAGCACGGACAGGTAGGAATGTTGACGCTTCTCACGCACAGCTCCGCTTTTAATTGTTGTGCAGTGATGTTTTTAAATTGAATTTCAATAAATAATTGGCATTTCCAGTGGAGTGTGCAGCCATCCTATCCTAGATATCTTGCATCTCGGAAGTGAGCCGGATGGGCACCTCTACTTGTACACCGCATATGGGGCAGAGTGTACCAACCTGAAGCGATGTTACCTTTTCTGTGTTACCCTTTTTCGGTGGCCTGTATCTCTTTACTCAACAAGCATTCAATGCTTTCTGGAGTGGTGTATGCCTGTGCCTCCTGCCTCTGACCCTATATCTTTGTCTGACCCCTATTTTCACTGCAGGACACAGCAATGATGTAAGGTTCAGATGACAGAACCACAGAACATGGCAAGGGACAAGGGCATCTAGCACTCTTTGAAGTATTATATACTGCAGCGTCTTATGGTGACTACAGTGATCAAATGGAGTGAAGCTAGGAGAGACAAGCCACCAGAAAGGTAAGTATTTTAGCTGTTCTGTTGCACAGAAACTCCACTTGGATTATTTATGTGATTGACAAGGCCACTTTAAACAACTCATTAGAAAAGTGATCAGTGGCAGATTCTTAAGTCCTGTAGGTTTTGGTAAGTTGTGAAGTGGGGCCTCCATGAATCTGACTTGTTTTTCTAGCACATCCCACAGGTGCTCAACTGGATTGAACTTTGGAGGCCAAGTTAACACTTCAAACTTGTTGTTGTGTTCCTCCAACCATTCTTTAATTCATCAGACCAGGTCACCCTCTTCTATTGGCCCTGTGTTCCAGTTCTGTTTCTCATGCGCCCATTGTAGGTGTATTTGGCTGTGGACACGGGTCACTATGGGCACCCTTACCAGTCTACGGCTACGCAGCCCCATACACAACAAAATTCAATGCATTGTGTGTTGTGATATCATTCTATCGGAACCAGCATTAACATTTTTCAGAAACTTAAACCACAGTAGCTCCTCTGTTGTGCCCTGGCCTCGCATGACCCTCTCTCTGTTTTTCCTTCCTTAGACCACTTTTGGTAGGTTCTGACTAGTCATCTAGTCATCACAAACTGGCCCTTGACAAAGTTGTGCAAATCCTTGCCCTTTTTTCTGCTTTCAACACATCAACTCCAGGAACAACATGTTTTACTTGCTGCCTAATAGATCCCACCCACTTTCAGCTATCATTGTAATAAGATAATCAATGTTATTGACTTTGTCAGTGGTCAAATAGCTAACGCTGATAGGTGTATGTGCTTCAGGCAGCCTGCTAAAAGTACATTTGAACTACAAGAGCTGGTGTACCTATCAAAGTATTTGTAATTTTATCCAGCCAGTCATAAAATGTAACCTTTACTGGACAATGACAGAGCAACAGAACAAAAATAAGGTCACCATCCTTGTTAAACTCCTGTTTTAAATATTGCCCCACAGCTAAGTTTGTAATAAGTCTTACCTGTAGGTACCTTGAAAACTGCTAAACTTGTATCATTTAATAGATCTTCACATCGGCTCTAGCCGATCACATTACTGGCACCAGCACAGTTCACTCTGCATTCAGGACATACTGCGTGTGCCATGATTGCAAAGAGTGCTTTGTCACAATAAGGACTCTTGTGTGCATGCGCAGGTGTGATGCCATCACAGCCTGGCAATTCAAATAGCTGTCACTATCTAAAAAAAATGCGGCTATGGGGGCTCTCCCCACAAGACCCGTCATTCATTCACAGTTTCCTGTGCATTTATTTTTTTTCCCAAAACGTGGATTTATCCTTTAATGCAGCGATTGCATTAAGGTAAAAATGTTTTTGCTTTTGAACCACTTTAATTTAAATTAGAAATAACTAAGAAATAAAAGTTATTTTTAACCGAAATTAGACATTTCAATTAGAAATGATTTATAAGCATAAAAAAGGTTTGTAGCAAAAAAATAAAATGGATTTAATCATAGTATCAATGTAATATAACATAAAAAACAAATCATAGAAAAAAGGAAGGCAGCTTAAAAAAATAGAAAAGTACACTTCTCTAGGTAACCTTGTCCTATCAAATATTGACACTCGGTCTCACATTCTATGTGCTGCTAAAGGTAGATACTTAATACACAATAGGGATCAGGCAACAGAAGGAATGTGCATCCAAGGGAAAGTGTTTAGGAATTTTTCAAGTAGTGCTACCCTCTTGAGATCCCCTGATTTTGGATTCCCCTTTACTTCCTGCAAAGCTTGTGTCAGGAATGGACTGGCCAGCAATAGTGGGACTCACCTGCCTTATGAGCTGCAGTACCAGGGCTGGCCAGCGGGTGCTCCCAACAATCAGAGACTCAACCTTGCAGCCAGTCAAACACCTGGAACTAATTATACTGGTGTATTTAAGGGACATTCAGACCTGCAGACTCTGCCTTGGTGTGTGTTTTTCCTGGGCCCTGTATCTTGTAAACCTGCGTTCCTGTTCCTGTCTTGTTGCTGACCCTGCTTGATTCTGACCTCTGCTGACTTCTCCTGTTCTGATCTCTGGCTTGTGACCCTGACCATCCCTCTGCCTGACCCTCTGTACCACGCTGCCCGCTACCTGCTTAACCTGGCCTGTGACCCCGACCATTCTCCGCTTGCTCCCCCCCCTGTACCTACCTGCCCGATTGATATTGACCCGGCCTGCCTGACGACGCTTGCATTGTATGTACTGTTATCTGTGGGTGGTTGGTTTGGTTTGTTTGCACTGTGTTATGTTTTAGTATTGCACTGCGTTTATGTTTGTATTGTTAGTGTTAATAAATTATATTGTTTATAACATATCTGAAGTCTGCGTTTCCCTGCGTCAGTCACATACCTCTGGTCACACCCGGGAGCCCTGACAGCTTGGCAACATGCATTTTCCACTTGCATCCAGAAACAAGAAACAGTCCATGTGCTTGTTTTTTAGTTTTATTAGGGAATTTACCTTGGATAGGGTAAAGTGTTTATGGGATGTCCAATTTGATTGCAGAATAACAGTTTGAGGACAGCTTCCTTCTCTAAAAAATGCTACAGCAATGCCAGATAAATGACTGTGGTCCAGCTGGAACACTGACAGCCTCTTCCGCAAAGTACAGCAACTTGCAGGAGCTCTGAGTCCCCTTGACTGGATTTTAGCAAATTCTCAACTTGTAGGAGCTCTAAGTCCCCTAAGCGTTCAAAATACCAGTCCACCTGGCTATAGTATCTGATTTCAGGACAAGAATTGGGTAAGCTATGAACTGTCCCCTGAAGACTTGCCAGAACTTGCATCCAGTAGACTTTTCCCTTCTAGGCGACGGAGGGGTAGAGGTACTCACACTGCCCTTGTCCTGCAGCTATGGATAGAACTAATTTCAGGCCTCTGTAGCTGGGCTGGTTCCTCTCCGAGCTTGGCAGTCTGTCCTTACCCAGATGGACTGCAGGGCAGTGGAGCTCCTTCATTCAGCTCTCCTCCTCTAGTTTCCAGCTTACAGCCTGGAAGCAAGACCCCTCTTCTCTGGAGTCCCCTCCAAGGCTACACAAAAGCACCTCTCAGTGCTCCATCTTCCACCCAACTCCCCTTCTGGCCAGGCTCTATCATATTTATGGGCTGCTCTGCCACACTGCCAGGCCTCCTGCCTGAGACTGGACAGACTCCCATAAATATGCAGATCAAATCCTCCTCACCTCAGTCTACTGACTTCTAGAAGCTTCTCCAAACTTCTAGAGTGGGGGAGGTACCAGAGGACTGACCTGTAGAACCCTCCAGCCCCAACCTGAAGTAACCCTCTGACTAAGCCCAGGCTCCTAGCAAGCCTCTAAGTACTCTAAACAACTATGTGCACCAGACAGCACTACATCCATATGAGTGTCAGCAGCAATACAAAGTGTTGCCTGATGTTTTGATGGGCTGTGCATAGCCAAAACTTTGATGCCTAACCACTTTCCCTTGAACATAAGTATGGACTTTGACAGTGTTATGAACTAGCGATGTAACATTCTTCACTTTCTTTAGCTTACTGAATGGGGTAGGTTTACAGGGGGGAAGCCCAGGGAAAGTGTCCTCAAAACCTTGCTAGTGTCCTATCACCTGAAGGTACCAGTCTATAACCCAGGGTCTATGAATACTCAGCCTGTGTCCTCTACTGTATGATTAATATATGTTTTTACACTGTGGGAGACTTTTGACTATATTTAGCATTATTAATATTCAGGAGACAATGTTATACCCTGATTCATGTTTCCCATGGGGGTCCAGCCATCCTACTAGTGGGAAAAAGGTAAGTGTTGTAGCACATAAACTTCATTACTTTAAAATGTAGGTAAAATTTCCTCAGGCTTTAGAATTGCTGTTTGACTATTCCCTTACCTGTCATATCCCAAATGTCATGCAGTTATTTGAAATACTGTACCAGTTACCATTTCCTTACATCTCTCTAACTACTGTCTTAGTCAGTTCTAAACATGTCAGCA